AATAAAGGCTTCATTTTCGGCAAGTTTGCAAAATTCAGTATTGATCTGTCAAACTATACTGGATTGTAACACATATAACATTTTAAGCTACATTATGGCAGTAGGACGCTTAATGGATAAATCCGCCTTTGATATTTATATTATGCTAATGGTTTCATTCAACTTCTCTTATCGAAGCTATAACGAGAGACGACTACACAAATGAAGATTCGCTCCCTATCGCGCATAGTAGCTTTTCTGAATATCCATAATTCGCTTTAAGGTAACTAGAGATAGCAACTTGGTGATGTGCCACGTATGGTGCTAGCATGCAAGAATTCTGTGCCAGGTTTTGTCAATCGCGATCGCAAAATTTTCTACCTCCAAATTTGGCCTATTAAACAGCTTTTCGCGCCTTTATAAAAAAAAAAAAAAAAAAAAATTCTTTTATAATTTTGGCATAAGACTTGCTTTAAGTCCTCCCTAAACTAACCTAACCTAATCTCAATTTAACTCTAACCTCAAAATTAGTATAATGCAGACCAATCTAGGCAGATTGATCGGCAACCCGGCGCAGTAATTTACGTGCATGGTATATACGTATTATACGCCAAAAGTGTCAATCGAACAGATCGTTAAATGTATTATATGTATTATATACTGTATTTCTGTACGTACTAAAAAAAAAAAAAAAAAAAAATCTTATCCATCACTAATAACACCATCTTGTGGTCTTTATTTTTCATATTAGCACCAACCAGATCGAACGTTTGTTTTGTTTAGACAAAAAACGTCGATATATCTAGAGTTTGTGTTGTGTTCGACTTTGTCCAGAAAGGTTTAGCCACAAGAAACCCATATCACGAAATTTGATTGATAGTGAAAGTTCCAGAAGAGTTTATCGAATAATTATTTCACGTGTGTTTAATAATCGCCATAAGCATGTCGTCAAATCATATATTATTCCCGTAAACCACGTTCGCATTAAAGCAAATAGCAGAGAGTAACATCGCCCTTATCTTGTTTAATGAGTTGAAGCAAGACAAATGGATGTCAAGAAAATAGCGAGTGCGCAATCCTGAACATATGAATTCTGAACATGCAATTCCAAATTACAACCATAATCATTGAGACATAAGTTAATCGTTAAAAATCAATTTTGATACATTTAAATATATCCTAAAACTAACCAATAAAATTGCACGTTATTATTTGGTGGCACAGTAAATCATATGTCTTGTGACTTGATTTTTCCCAATTGGTTACAATCGTAAATCGAAGATTACATATACCATCAAATAATGTCGATTTTTTAAAATACTATATTTATATACTAAATCAGGTGATTTTGAATTTTCACTTAGCAAATTTTGCATCATGGTTATGTCTAAATTTTATGACATGACGGTGACGTGAAAGTAGCAGCTGCCTTTGATCTTCTAACTATATTCAATACACAACAAGATAAGGCTGTTAAAGAAACCTGCTGTATTAAAATGTAATTATGTACTATACAAGCAAAACCCGCAAGATTCTCTTGGGCAAAGGTGCACGTGCATTAAAGGAGTATTACAGGTAGTTGAGTATTACATACTTGTTTGGACCAGTATCACATGAATTCCATTGTTTAAATACCGCGTGAAAAAACACTGGCACGTAATTTTCCATAGTTTTCTAGTTGTTTGTATATTTTAACAGAGTTTAAGAAGTGACTAACCCGAAGTGAAAGATGAATTCCGAGGATACACATGAAAAACCTGAAAAAATTGAAAACTTAGAGAAGGCTCTTGAAATTCTTGATCTCGAAAGTTTTACAGAAAAACTCGGTCTATATCGATTTATGAAAAAAAGCAAAGATTTGAAAAAGTTCTATGGTATTGCAACCAATGTCCGACTCTGGTTAACTGTATTTTTCTTATATATATTTTTGTTTCCAGATTTCGTTGGTCCAGATTTTACTTGGCCTTTAACAATGGACGTACACGAACGTTGCATTGTCTTTGATTACATTACCGACCCTGAATGGTCAGAGGGAGGTATTGGGAAAGAGCTTGCAACAAATACTATCGCGTATCGCAGACTCCTGGAATCCAAAACCCTTGATCCGTCTAAAGGAACTCATATTTTACTCGTTCACGGACAGATTGAGCGCTATGGACAACAAATATCAGCAAGTGAGTACGATGAACTCGCGGGAAAAGGATTTCTTTATGCGCCAATTGCCGAAACATCACCTGGTGATGTAATGAGAAAAGATTAGTAGGTTTGTGTTTAAAACTAGGCATAATGTATTGATATTTTACAAAAAATCTTTGTATCGAAAATAATTCTGTCATTGCCCTAATCACAACATTTCTGGCATTACTTTTGCCAAAAAAAAAAAACCATGAGCTTCGAAGTTTAATATCTGTTTTTCTGTTTAAAGATTATTAGCAAGTATTGAATATGACGATTTATTAAAATGAAACATCCAATTACTATATATCATAATTGCTATGTTTGATGACGGTTTAAAATTTTACCGAGCTTCAAAGTTCAACTGTCGAAATTCATTCATGGCAAAGGCATGCACCAAAAGATGTAAGTGTTTTTGTGTAGAAAATTCTTTAAATAACAATCCTCGTTATATAAACCTATTAGGTCATCCTATACCTCTCCGAAATCAATAATTCCACAAGATGCCCTAAACTTTAAACCTTTGCAAGAATATTATAACAAAATTTATTTTAACGTTACTTTTCGAAAAGATTAGACATTATTGATCTGTCAATGAACATGTTTCATTCATTCAAATGCAAGTAACTTTAATAATGCAGCTTAGCTTATCAAAATCGGTTATGATAAATTGATATCTATTACTATTTTAAAGCAAGTTATACCATGACTCTGTTTATAGTTTTTCAATGAATCACAAGAATTGTTCGTTTATATGGAACTTAGGAAAGATTTGGTTGATAGGCACGGCGCAGTAATACGACGTATACGTATGACGAAATGAACCATCTTAGGCAGTGATTTTTATAATCTATAATTTTAAGAGCTTCAATATAATATATATGAAATATAATCATACCTGAATTATATCCAGAGGTAGGGATATAACTTGGGTACTACGCTTTAATCACGTGATTATTGATCGCAATTTTTAAAATTAAATATAAATCTTTAATAGCCAATAACTTTTTATCCAGTGATCTAATTTGGGGCATTTTACCAAAGTGATTGTAATGATCATTTTGATGGTAAAATTACTTTAATTGGATCACTGAATAAAAAGTTAGTTATTTAATATTTATTGAAAGAATTACTATTTCACCATGGTAATTTGCTATTTTCACCATAAATGATTAATCGGGTATTCTATAGAATAGGTGAGGCAATATAAGAAATAAGCTTCACTAATGATTAGTAATCATTAATTTTTTAATAGTGGAGTTTGCGGAGTTTGCTTATCTATTCTATAGAACATCTATAATATTTAACATAAACTCTAATTCTGGTTATAATCTATATATCCATGGTGAAAATAACAAATTTTTAGTAGAAATATCAAATTATTTTATTTATTATAAGTAATAATTTATTTTTATGAATTAATTTAATAATTTTTAACTGATAGTAATTATTTGTATACAACTCAACTCTTTTTGCTAATTTGTAATTTTTTATTAATCAAAATTGAAGATAATAATTTTTTTAAAAATTAGTAGAAGAAATAAAGAATTTTGTATTAAGAAAAAGAAAAAATATTTAAAATAATTTATTGTTTACTAAAGTAGTCTTTTATTCAAGATTTTAAGTTTAGTAATAAATAAATTTTTAGAAATTTTTAAAAATTTTAAAACATTTATTTAGATCTTAAAAATTTGATTTTAAAAACACATAAATAATAATAAAACAATAAATATATAAAATTAAATAAACAAACAAATAGCAGATTATATTATTAATTTTTGTTCAAAGTATAGTGAGGACTTACATGTACAAATAAAACTTAAAAAAATATCTGTCTGTCCAACATATAACTATGTTGTGATTAGATAATGATTTGCATATACTAGAGGTCTAGGCAGAATTTTGTCTATCTGTTCTCTATGTAGTTAGTCAAATAAATAATTAGACAATTTTAGATAATCTGCATATACTAAAATTTAAGCAGAATTTTGTCTATCTGTATATCAGTCTACCCACATAACCAATCATACCATATTTTCATGTAATAACACCCATCTGCACATTATTTTGAGCATACACACATTAATTAAAATATGTGTATAGGTATTATTTTGAAACAAGTTTTGATTTTTTGATAAATCTGGTTTTCTAAATAACACCCATGTGTTTTATATATAAACAACTAGAGATTGCAAATATGGGCAGCTTTGCTGCCCAGGTGACATTGTGGCAGTACAAGATTAGTATAGATAGTACAACACTAGTATAGATAACACAAGATTAGTATATTAGTAAGTTTATCAGTATTCACGTGGTTAAAATTACACGAATTAATTGAAGTATAAAAGAGATGAAATTTCTTTTTATTTCATGTATTTTACAAATAATTAACGATATTAGTAATGTATAAGATAGTATGTAAAAAGAATAATTTGATGCATGTATGTTGTTTTGGTTAATGCAAGTTGAACAGATGTAATTTATTCAGTAATATTAAGAAATTGTTTGTATTTTTTTAGGTTTGAACTTTTTTTGTGAACGGTTGAGTTTTTTTAATTTACGTTGGTCTGTTTAGTGGTAGAGGTTCTCGAGTTTTTAATTCTAATCGTTCATATTCTCTGATCATAGATTGATCTGTGATGAAGGCAGTGTCGTTTAATGACTGTATTTTTATGTGGTTCCAATTAGTACAGCGGCTTAGCGCTACATAGGCTTGTCTAGGTATGAATATTTGATCATCCAGATTTAATAATACGTCGGGAAGTGTAAGTCCTTGTGTTTTGTGGACTGTCAATGCAAATGAATTTTGTATCGGGAATTGAGTTCGGCTAGCGGGTGTCCTATTTATACTGAAGTTGCTAGTAAATTTGGAGAAAGAAACGTTTATTATAGCTCCTTCGACGCAGAAGCTTACATAGACAAGGTTTGATTGAATGTCAAGGTCTGTGACGATGCCTATAGTACCATTTGCTATTCGATGTTGGTGTTGTGAATTAGTTAGAAACATAACTCTTATGCTGAGTTGAATTCTGATTGTTTCTGGTAAGTTGGTTCTGTTTTTGAATTCGCGGAGTATTGATTTGTCATTGTATAGTAGGTTATTATTAACGATGTCTATGCTGTTAGAAATCATGAATTTGTTTTCTTGAGTGGGAATCATAGTGCATATAAGTCTGTTAATTAGGTTTGCGTTTTCTCTGTATCCTACTATATGTGTAGTGTTAAGGGTGGTGTTTAGTTCAGGTGATTCGATTATTTCACAGTTTTTTTGAGATAAAATTTGCCATGTCGTGTTATCGATTCTACCTATTCTTATTTTTTCTAAAATATTATAGAATTGAGTGTCTTGACTTTGTCTTTGTGGTTCGCAGAGAAATAGAGGGTAAAAGATTTTCCATATAGGAGATTG